GTACAATGACTCTTTCTGTTCACTTCTGTTTTCAAGTTCTAATATCATAGATTGCAAAACAGTTGTAAATCTTTTGGCCAAGGCTTGTGATCTGAGTGAAAAATTGTAATCTTTGATAATGTTTTGTGACAGAAACAAAATATGAAGACAAATCACTAATTTAATTGATGAAAAAAGAGGTACTGCAATAAAATGGAATATAGATAAAGTGAAATAAAAAACATGATCAAGATGATGTGACTGATATAATTATTAACATTTGCTACCACCTACAAATAATACTTCTATGGTTACCCACTTCTGAACCACAGCAATAGAAGAAAGAATGTCCTGTTGGATGCCCTTAACAACCCAAATTTTGTATGATTGATTGTAAACTAAGTTTCTAGCCAAAATACACTTAAATGGGTAATGTATTGATTCCAGAAGACAGTAATAGAGAATCTGAATACAATGGTAAGAAGATAATGAATGTGATACATATTTAGTGACTGCTACAAGAAGTGAATTTCATTTCAGACAGAATATTTTTGTTAGAACATCTATAGAATTCCTATTGCCTAAAACTATAGGTTCTTCTGAACTCAATTACACCTCACTTAGAAATAGAAAAAATACTAAAATAAAGTATGTTTGCTTGCTCAAAATACAAGTTTGCGTTTCTTATTGATACGATAGGGACCATTTAAATCATTACATAGAACCTGAATCATATTATGTATGTACTTCCATAAATGATTGTAAATAGTTACATTTTTTACTTATATTATGTCAAATTTAGAAATCATAATAAAATAGCTTACTATTTTAAAAACTAATAACAGAAAAGAACTTTACAAAACAGAAGTTTTCAATTTTTTAAATAGCATCAGTGGTAGAAAATGCAAGTTCACATTGCAGTAGTATCTAACCACTGTTATTGCCTAAAAGAATAAACATACACATATATTTCTTTATTTCTAAATATATACTTTTATTAACTGTTTCGCAATGCGAAAAAAAAATACAAAATTGAAATATACTCACCTATTATTAGTAGGTAAGTTTTTGACAAAAGTAATGCTTGATGCATATACTAAATTTGGAAATGAGGAAAAGGAAAATAATTGATTAAAATGATTTTAAGAAAGTGCTTTTACAAAAATAGTCATTTTTATTTACAAAATACTATCACAATCGCAAGTGTGCACATATCCTTTTGATTTTTAATTCTTGTTATTCTTGCGTTACTTTTTCATGACTCATGAATGATAATTGCAAAAGATAAACTTATCTTTGCGTATAACGAAGTAATAAACAAAAAAGGCCTCGTATAAATTTATTACAAAAAAATTTGTGAATGTTCAAAGAACGAATAAAATTCGCAATCCAAGCTGGGATGAGTTTGACCAATGCAATGGAACTTCACGGCCAAGAAACGAGTATATTAAAAAATTGGACGAGTACCTTAAGTAACGATTAACATCGTTTCCTTTCTGTCGCGTTACGGAAACATTATCTTTGATATAATATTGATGTACAGAGAATCTAAAGGTAGACGATTGTATACAATGTATGGCACAAGATAGAAGTTTCCCATTGTTTCAAATGTCACATCTTTAGAGCGGTAATGGAAATGTGCCTAATGACCTACAAACAGAAATACCTTTAATGTTTACTATCAAAAGGAGCATGTATGTTGTAAAAAGAATCGGGTTTGGTATAGAATCGTTTGTACTTTGTGACTGCAAGATATGGTACGTTCAAAATCTTACAATCTCTATTCACGTATATGCCGCTCACGTGACGCTGATGCAATTATAGTAACAAAAATAGACTACAAATCAGTTAGGTGTTATTTAAGAAAAACATATAACCTAAGAAAAAGTGATGACTACGTTTATATAACATTCACATCTTTGTTTAATTAAACTTAAAAAAAAGTAATTTAACCAGCTAATTAAGTAATCAGTAGTATTAAAACTTATCCTACAAGAACTGAAGACTCAAATTAAGAAACAAAGTCCTTGTTTGATTATAGGCTTACATGTGACGGGAATGAAAAAGTCAAGTTATATTTGTACAAGTATAAAAAGAATTGTATTAACAGTATTTTACAAACGGTTAACAAACGCAGTTACATTTCGCTGCATCAGCGTCCAACGAGAATAGCGGGTTGATATAAAATTCTAGAGCGCGCGTGTCGAGTTTCTTGAAAATACTATAACGTCGTATCGCTGCATTGGAAAATGCACATAACGCAACATTGAAATTCGAAATGAGTATAATACACGACATAGAAGGTTACTCTTGAAAAAGATACAAAATGTATCTCGAATACGAAATGCTCTCATCGGATCCAGAACAAAAGCGTCAGCGTATCTCCTGCATGTAAAAATGGTGCCCAGGAAGAAAAATTGAACGTTTACCTAAACAACGTGTAATAAGAGCAATTCGGATAACAGCAATTAATCTCTTCTACAAGACATAATTAAAACTAAATTCAACAATTTTGAACTGAAAGTTTTCTATATACCTATTGCACTTTCGATTTAAATAAAACAATATTCAATACAATGGCTTAAATTGTGTAACAAATGTCAAAAACGAAGTACTGAATACATACTCTTAACTGAAAATTTCTGTTTGTTCAAAACAATAACAAACCTCATTTCGTAAAAAATACACTTGGACACTAAAATGACGTAAAATAATGTCTCTTAAAAATATTATTGTCTTATCTTCCCTATTCCCAACTTGGGCTCGAACAATCATCGAACAATTGAATTTTCTAGTCATAATGTAAGAGGCAACGCGGGGTTCGTTGTCTCAATTTTCTCCCAAGCTTGCATTTTGGCGAGAAAATTGAAATCGATACAAACAAACTGGCATCGAATGTAATGCTGTTCGACTCTATCTCGCTCTATTTCCTACCTATAACATGCTTCCTTCAACTTCTATCGTTTACAATATTGTTTGAATTCACTATATGCTCAATTGGTTAACGTACTTTATCTAAACTTTGCTACTTCTCACGCTCGTCTCTCCTCGTCTGTACTCTCGATTCTCTCTTGTTGCCTATCCTCACGCATTTTCAATAAAACTGAGTATCCTGATGCATAACTTGCACAAAATACAAACAAGCGTATAAATGAGTAGACTGTATTGAGTAACAAAATCAGTAACATCCTTCTGATTACAACATCATATCCGAACTTACACTTCATCAAGGAAGAGCGACAGTTTTCGAACCAAATACAGTATTTATTCCAATAATATTCGCTAGCCAAGGTCTATGGAAATATGTTTTCTACGTAGAATGTGTCATTTTGAAATTAACTGGGGATACTCTGGTACTTCGGGAAAGGTGTGAGTGGTATTCTGGAAAGTGAGCACTATGAGAATAAATACTGTAGCATAAAGTACAGCGTGATGGTAATCGAATCACGTCAAAACAAAGATGAAACGGACGATCACAATGGCTCTTCTTTTATATTCTTTGGTGTAACATACAAAATAATTGTACAAAATAAACAATAGTTGCTCGATCGAATAATAAATTCAACGATATCGTTACAGAAGGCACGCGAATAAAAAAATCTGAGACAGTGGCTCGCAAATTTCAAATTAGAATGGTAGTATCGATTTATTACGAAGAATAAAAGCAAAAAAGTGACCTATATCTAAAACTTAACGGCAAATCTCCTCGAAATAAGTATGCGTGCGCGCACAGACATATTATGTATGCATATACATACAGGGTGATAAAACCGAGAAATAACTAAATAAATAAAGTAGACACCAGTTGCACGATGCATTATTTTCCAAAAAATTAATATTGCATGTGTGTCAGGCTCGATTGTCTATTGAAGTTCCCTTCCCAGTTGAGAGTGGGTAATCTGGACCTACAATTAAAAGAATAGTTATGACTACGATTTTAATCGATCTTCTACCAATTTTAATAGATGAGTTTAATGTAATTTCTATGAATACCCCTTAATTTCATACAGTCGGTGGGTAAGCGATGCCGAACTCGTAAAATTTTTTGGGTGACCACAAAAACATTTTTCACAACTCGAATTACCCTTTTTATATAATCGAAATCACGGTCTAATTGCCTCGAAACAGTGTTCAGTTGTAACGCAATTAGAACCCCAGTAAAATTAGTTTCGTTGAAATACTAATGGGGAACTAATACTCTGACCAACACAAGGACTATTTTTTCTAGGTCTAGATTTGTGAGGATATGTCATACACACATACATTCATACACGTATGCATCACACACACGCACCCACGAACAAACACACCCACACCTGCGCGCGCGTGCGCAGATTCTTTAAAAATATATTCAATGAAAAACTTGTATGATTCGAAATAATAAAACAATGCTTTGGCTAAATTGTCGCTTGGCTCAGCAGAGCAAAGATTTGCAACGGGACCGTATGTATGTACAGTCGAGTGCAATGATGCTTTCCAGGTCAGAACCCGAAGTTTACCACTTCCACAACGTTCCGCGTGTTCCCTTGAACCACCCGTGTCTCTCCTGCTGAATGCTGTAGAGGTGGTGAACTTCAGATTTTGATCTGGAAGGCATTAATACACTAGGCTCTATGCAAGCACGAGTCTTAAAGTTCATTTACAATTACCATCTAATGGTAAAGGAATGGAGGCCAAATAAGAGTGTTAGTGAATTCGTCTATTCTCGGCAATGTTGCTAGGTCAAATTAATAAGTGTGCCAATAAGTAATCCACTATTTTTTCATTCGTTCGACATTATAGTTTAAGCTCAAAATAGTTTATCTAGATATTCTTGGCAAAAAATAATTAATATACACACTTAATTAAGCAAATAACAGTGGATCACTTATTGTTATACCAAATAAAATGGCAATACCAAAACTATTTTGAACAATACCATTTATTCCGAATCGTCTGGTATTTGTAAATGACTTCAAACTTCAGAGTTCATCCAGACTTAAATCTAGCACCTGGAAGATCCACCAATGCCGCGAGGTTTTGTTGGATCACAAGACCTCAAGTCCTGATAACAGATTCCCAGTTGCAACGCAATTTGTAGCCCTGTTTATAGAACCCAATTTTACAAGTAAAATTTCAATAGTAGAATCATGGTTTTAGAGAGATCGCTTTGATATTTCACTAAAATCAAGTCTGGACGCACTTTTGATGCACGCATAGGAATCGCTTGAAAACATGAAAACTGAAGAAGAACGAGTTTCGCTCGGTCAAAGATTTCTACAAAACGAAGAAGACATTTTAACTAGTGGCACGATTAATGCGTATGACATTTCATCATTACCCTACAATTACTCTGTAACAAGTGTATACGATGAGCGGAGCGTTAAATGGTTTAAAAATGAAATTCTGAAGAAAAAAAACAGTCATTTTTCCCTATGGATTCTGGCGTTTAGAAATAACACCTGAGTCCGTTTTTTCCGATTTTGCAACCATCGAGCAAATAAACGACAAAGTCGGAATTGTACAAGTGTCTACTAGATCTCAGAATCGTCCTGGACGCGCGACGATGGCGACGAGAGAAGTACGCGAAACAGGAACGTTAATGCGATCGCATTGCGAAGAGAATTGGAACGAGAAAGATGTTCCTCGGCCGAGAATTTTGAAAAAGTGTCAAAAGTGACAGTTAGGAAAAAGTTTGATACACTGTCGAGTAAAGAATAGAGGAAACACCCTGCTCGTTCGCTGAGGACGCGAATACTGCTTAGAAAAAGCCATCACCGCACGTGCCAAAGACCAAGATTCAACGTACTCAGCTGAGGCAGTTTCATGATTCTTTCGAGTCCGTTGGTACTTATCCTGGTGCATCCATAAAGATCGATGCATTTCAGGTGTTTCATGCTCTCTGCGATCGTGTAGAGCCCTTTGTCCGTCAGCCTACTACACTGACCGATGTTGAGCGTCTCCAGGTCATGCAGCGTCTGGGCAATCTTGCAGATCCCTTCGTCGCTGATTTGGCAGGCAGACAACGAGAGGGACTTTAAGTTGAAAAGTCCTCGGGAAATGTGAACGAGGGCCTGATCGCTGATTTTGTCGCAGAACGACACGTCCAACGATGATATTCTGCTGCCGCCTTCCGCAAGATAGGCCATTCCAACGTCCGAGATATTGTCGCAGGATCGAAGATTTAGTTCCCGCAGACTGGGCATTTTGGCCAAATGTTTCACACCCGTATCGCCTATACATACGCAAAACGAAAGATTGATAGATTTCAAAGTGGTTAGACCAGTAGATATGTGACGAAGCGCTTCGTCGGTGACACGCTGGCAATCTTGGAGACTAAGATACTCCAGCGCAAAGTTCCCACCGGCTGCGTCGAAATCCACGATACCAGCCAACTGTTCCATTAAAAAACTAGCGCCAGGTGTCTGGGGATGAATACCGGCCAAGTAAGCGATACCGTCGTTGCACACTTGCCAACAACTTCGTAAATCGAGTCTCTTCAGTTTTTTTAAATACCACGATATGCACAACAGTCCGTCGTTAGTAATGTTCCTGCAACCGCCGAGTTCAAGGTGCTCGAGATTCTGCAGATATTTTGCTATCCAACTGAGAGAAATGTCCGACACTTGTTTGCACAGAGAGAGATTTAGTTCCGTCAGCGTAGTGTATTCTTGAGAAAATGCTTTCATCAGAGCCAAGTCGTTGACGTTATAACAGCCGGAAAGGTTCAGGGACTCCAAGTTCGGTACGCCTTTCAAAACATCGCCCAAGCCTCTTCTCAGCGACAACACTTGGACCCTTTTCACTCCCCTCTTGACGAGACTAGCGAATAACGCCGGTGCCTGTTTCCTCAGATGCAATTTCGCCTCGACTCCTCGCCAGACGGACCTGTGATACGCCGCATCCCTCCACGCGACGCACACTTGTGCCGCGCGTCCTTTGTCCCTAACCTCCAGGTAACTAAAAATCAGTGCCAGAATTTCAGGATAGAGACACGAGACGTGAGTGCTAGTCGCGATGATCTCGCGATTTGCCTGAGACTGTTGTCTTGAAAGGCCTTGCGTATACGCTGGCAAACTTGTCGCACCACTCGTATAATGCGCTGCGTTACTCGAATTGTAAAGAATAGCCTGACTCTGGGACGACGGGATCGCCAGGTGCGGCTGGTGTAATTGGTAATAGTGTCCCGAACGGTGGAGCAACGTTGTACCTCGGTTCGGCGTTAACGCCGGAAGTTCCGTCATCAACAGATGACTTTCCTCCATATTGTCCAGTATATGTGTACATAGACGCGATATACACTGGTATAGACACATATACACGGGTCTTACTTACACACTTGTTCGACTTCGGGACGAATTCTTGTTTCTCTTTCCGTCCGTAGTCCCCTCTGTTGCCCTCTAAGAATTTCTGTCTTTATTCCGCCGACTTCGTGGTCTTTTTCTTCCGTCTCTTTCTTTCTGCCTTCTTCCTTATTCGATAATCTCGAATAATACATAACACATATTCTGACCGAACGAACCCTTCTGCAGGAATATTAATTTGAACTTGACGCGCTTCAGTCAGCTCGCTGTTGCTCCGATCATGTCGATGCATCGATGAAAACGACTTTTATCTCTTCCCAACGGATGGAAATTCTTCAACGTTAAAGAAAAGAATAATGTCGGTTGTTTTACGGTTTACGGAAACATCACGTCGCACATGGAATACCAGCAGCGTATTTTTTTTCATTCGCGTTTCCCTTCTTTTACACGTTTTTCGTTCCGTCTTTGTCCTTTCCTGGGCTTCCTTGTTCGCTCGCTCGCTCGTTGACTCGCTTCCTCGCCGCCTCCCCTCCCACCACCTCCCTCGCAACCCCTTCTCTTCGTCGTCTCTTTCTATATACGTACAGATATGTGTATATATTCATCTACAGTACATAGACACGCGCGCGCGCGCGCGTCTCCCTCTGTGTGCACAAGTACTTTTTTCTTCCTCTTTCTCTGCTTGTTACCGCCCCACCTCTTCCTCTCACTATCCCTATCTTTCTCTCGCCCACCGCGGTCAGTTTCTTCTCCACTATCTCGCTTGTTGCCACACTGAACACCTCTCTTTAGGCACGCACATCGTCCGTTACGCTCTTCTCATACAGGTCGACGAAATTCCAACGAATCCCCAGCAACGTATAAACTCTAGTCTCTCCGATCAAATCGTATCCGTTCTTACTCTGAACAATGTACGTGTCGTAAAAGTACTCGCGCGGCCAGCTTCAAACCGACATCTCGATAAAATGTGAACCGGTGCGCTGCCAGCCGCGAACTGTTGTTCCAGTTGCCCATACTCAGATGTCGTGTCGTCGCTCTGTAATACAGGCGGAGCGAACTCGATTTCAGCGAATCGTTGATTGGCTCCCGATGCGCAACCACGCGTCACGTGACTGTGGCGGCGAATATCGATTCGGGTTGCGCTGCGGCGGCATTTTTAAGTTTTCGTCGAAAAGGGCGGGGGAGGGGGTATAGGATCGCGTACTGCGAACCACGTTGCGACCACCACCGTTCCTTCAATTTTCCTCAAAGTTCAATCGTCTTTTTAAAATTTCCTCCCAACCCTTCTTGTTTCGTCCTTTCCTTCCTTATTTCAACCTTTTATATTTCCATTTACTTCGTTATAATTGTACATCAATTTGAAATAAGAGGTAATATTGTGTCTGAAAGACAGTTTTTTCTAACACTCGAGGATACACACTTTGTATCATATATCTGTTTTAACAAGAAGTCTTTTGAAACAATACGAAGAAAGCCATTTTAAAATGCACGATTATTATTACCTGAGAAAGATTAAGAACAAATATTTGTATACTCTGATCATGTAAGCAGAGATCCAAGACGCGTGCTTTGCTTATAGAACTATGCTTTTACATTCTTACTTATACTCGACATATTTTGAATATTTCTATTCGTAAATAGATAATAGATAATGACTCTAAATTACCTTACATGTATAATGTTGACTGCTGTCATTATAATGTAATTCTTGGAGTAATACAACTAGAATTCGGAACACATTCAGTGACCTTGAGTTCATTGAAATAGTCATAGCTGTTCTTTTACATAATTCTATATCTCTATGGCTGAACAAAAGACTATTAGTCAGAATTACTAGTTGTGCAGAGATTCAATATTATATTAAATATTACTAGTGCTTTTCTGCAATACTAATCATTCTGACTCATACTTTTTTGCCCACCCACTAAAGATATATGGATATATATAATACTCGATGTATCTCAGAATCGATCGTGAAACATAAAGGTTCTTTTATGTTAATAAATTTATGGCATTACAATAATTGACAAGTTAACCACGTGGTAAACGTGTTTAAATCAAGGAATTAATGTGTCTACTTTTATATAAATATTCATGTATAATATTAAAGGAATCGAGTGGGTAAGTTTCATCCTTTCCAAGATTCGCCAATAAAATTATCATCTTAATATCATAACTTAGAACTATTGATTTACAAACTGACTGAAGTTACAGTTTACCCAATTTGTTCTTGATGAACTTTCGGTCTAATAACTATTTCAAATGCAAATTAAAAATAATATTAATAGATCACTTTGTATAGAAGTGGATATTATAAATTCACGAATTTTTATACCTTTTTATTATTTGATTCTCTCATTAATAACCTATTGAATTTAAATATGTTATAAATTTGAAAACAATAACGTATGGAGTGAGATAACAAATAATTAAGGAAAAAAATACGGAATAATTATGTGTACACGTAGTTCTATTTATGTATTTATTTATAGTTTCAAGTATATAATAATTCATATTACAATGTTATAACTGTATAACAGTAAACAATATTGAATATAATTGATTAGAATACTTGTGATATGCCACTAAAACTGGCAGGTAGAATATTTACACATTATAGAATGCCGCTTCATTGCCTTGTTCAAAAGATATGTTGTACAGATAAAAAAATTGTAACAATATCAATTGTGTTAATTCATAGGGACTCATTCATGACGGTATTACAGCGGCAGCTGGGTAGATATCCTAACTATTATCACAGATGGAAAGAAGACATTTATCATATTACTACAGCATGTACAGAGTGTAACATAATGAGACATGTACCTCAGGAATGGAGTCAACGTTAAAAAAAGAATTAAATACGTTAAAAAAATTCTTAATATCTCACAGTGTATCAAATAACTGTGTATTTAAAAAAGTTAACAACAATACTGATATTCAAATACAATTTAGTGTATGTACCTCTTGCAAAAGTAAACACAGAAAAGCAATTAGAAAATAAGAGCAATACGTTTATACAAACGTGTTATTGTTTTTTTTTGTACTTTCCTATATATGATGTTACACCCTTTATAGCATTCCAATCACATTGTAATTACTACCATCCTCAACAAATTATGGTATACTTACATGTTTATCTTTCCTGCTATAATAAAAGTTTAAACTTTATGCTTAACAAAGAACAATTTGACTAATAACTTTCATTCCAATGTTACAGTTATGGTGACCAAAATGTACACAAATGTAAAAGATCCTATCAAATAATTGTTTTCTTTCGCCATACTAGATTTACGTTAAAATACTATGACAATATAGATCGCTCGCATCATATTTATGAAGACTAAAATTTACATACATGTTTATTGTTCAATATTATTGCATTAGCACTGAACGAACTGCACAAAAATATTGTTACATTAAACAAATATTTTATTAACAATATATCAAAAAACAGGTTGATATTTTACTTATAATGGGAAGAAATAAATATTTTATTGTACTGAAACAGAATCTTTCATTTTTCATTATTGTGGTGCAATTCTTCCTGTGCCACATGAAAAGCTTGCCTCTGTTATACCGTAAATACCTTTTACTGTTTATTTTAATTTAATTTGTTTAGAGTGCACTAGAAAGCGTCATCAAATCGCAGGAACCTTACACAATAAAATATGCTAAGTTATCCGTTAATAGCATTAATCGCCTCTGGTTGGTTAAACACTAAACATAATGTATGTAACAGTATTCGGCTCTTGTTATGGTAACTCATTAAAAAAATTTGTCCGTAATTACTCAAATCTCATACATATGCTCATATATAATTATATATATGTATATTTATTCTATTGAACAAAATTTCGATAGTGCTCTGTACAATGAATGTTACTTCACCTTTCACTTTACATCATTTTGTATAAATTATGGTATACAAAGCACAAATAAGAAGCAATTATATTGCGTTGTTTCTTTCTTATTCTTGTACTAATTCTTTTGTATGTTATATGATACAAATGGGTCTTTATATTTTTTTTCATTGCATTAAGAGTATGCAGTAATGGAAAGTATGTTGCGTACAAAGTTATTCTCGCTAAATGAACACTACACATTCGTAATATTTGCATCCTATGTGTATTGAATGTTACTAGCATCAAAGTATAATTCTATAAGAATACAATCTTCGATGTGGTAATTTAAATACAAAACTTAATAGTTTTATAAAACATTGGTGTGTTTGATATTTGTAAATTTTGTTGTTGTAGCATACCCTCTTCTTATTTTAATTTACGTCTGTAATTGTATTAAATGATATTGACAGCAGATCTCATGCTTGTATGATGCTGTTAACAACATTTCTTTTTATACTGTTTTGTGCTTTTTCTCAGGTTTACTGTTTCACTGGTTTGTACAGCTTGTCGTTCCTTCCTTTCTTTTTTGGTCCTAAGCACCTGCCGTGTTATTGCCATAAACATCTAAATACAACAAATTAGTGCAAGCTGGAATTAATTCATAATACTAACAGAATGTTACAATTAATCGTTTTATTGCATGCTAGTGATCAAAACAAAAATATGAATTTAAAACAATTGCCGAGTAGACACAAGAATTAAAACTCAGTAAAACAGTTGCTGGTTTATAGTTTTCTGTGTAAGCTAAGAAGAAACATGTATAAAGTATCTTTTAACACACAGAAATGAAAATATTACTTACTTCTTGAACATTAATATTGTCTTTCGCAGAAGTTTCAAACAACTGAATTCCCATTTGATTAGCAAATCTTTGAGCATCTTCTGTTAATACCACTTTTTCATTTGGTGCATCATTCTTATTCCCTACAAGTACCCTGTTAACTACATCACAATTTTGTTCGATTTCATGCAACCATCTCTTAACGTTTGCAAAGGAATCACCACTAGTCACATCATACACAACTATAACACCGTGTGTTCCCCTATAGTAAGTAGAAGTTATTGTCCGAAATCGTTCTTGTCCAGCTGTATCCCATATTTGCAGTTTTACTCTCTCACCATCTATTTCCACAGTTTGTATTTTAAAATCCACTCCAATTGTTGTTATATAACTGCCATTAAAAGTATTGTCAGCAAATCGTAAGAGCAATGAACTTTTACCTACACCTTGAACAAAGAAGCCAAAAAGAAAATATTAAATGGGTACAATAACACAATAAAAGTGAAATGTTTATTTGCACAATAAAAATAATTATTATGCTTATCGAAATTCAATGTTGAACTGTGTCACCATTTCTTTAGCCATCTGTACCATTTTTCAACTAACTTTTAAAAACTATAGTCAAGTAATAAGAGTAATACAAATACTATTTATATGAAAAAACAGTTCAGTTGAGAACTCAATAGATATAAAAAGAACATATATGATATGAAATATTATTTGTTTAATTAGGAAATTTTAACGTGACTACATAAATGTAATTTAAATCATAAATATACTAACATGTTTGTAATATGTGCTTAACTGAAAAAAAAAGTTCATGTAAAGTGCTTAAATAGAATTAATGGCTTTTCAAAAACTGATATTTATTAACATGACAGAAAATACAGTTTTTTACGAACTATAATTACGATAAATAAATAAATGACATGCTACAGGTTCCCAATCAAACTGTAACTTTCTGTAACGCACTTTTTTGTATGAATATATTTTTATAGTTGAACATATTTCATATAAATGAACGTTTCTGTACTTACCACTATCGCCTATTATTAGAAGCTTAAATAAATGATCATATTCCCGGGCCATTTTGACATGTATGACGTGCAAGTTTATCAGAGGTTCGCTCTCAAAAACAGTAGAGAATATGGACGATACGTTCACTGTGCCGTAAATTATTTCGGTTAGATGGGAGCAGATTGACAAAAACGAAATGTCTGAGTTTGTGCAAATTGCGACAAGGCTCGCGGCTTGTCCGTAGCAGTCCGTAGTAAAGAACTAATAGTATCAAATCAGCGCCATGTTTATTTTCTGCGATATCACAATTCATTATCACTACGGAGAAAAAACTATATTCGTTAAAGATGACGCTTATGCCATATCAACTTGTAACAATTAGCGTATTTCATTTATTTTAAAGGCTGTACTTTTATGTATTGATATTTTACATGGCGTCCAATAATGAGTATTGTTTGTCCAAAGAAAAGTACATTTAAGAAAAAAATCTCCATTAGACGGTTTTGAAACATTGGATTACTTCATGGAATGAATTGAAGTATTCAGTTACCTTATAATTGTTTGTTTTTATTAAATATGATGTTGCACTTTTATTAGTAATTGGTGCAAATTTGTGGGAGATAGAATACAATGTATTCATGAAAGTGTGAATTACAAATATATTTCTTGCTATAATTATAAGTTTATACCCAAATATCAAATTACCGTCATTGTTCCCCACAGATTTTCTATCTATACTTCAAATATCAGAGCTCTCTGACAACAAAAATGGATACTGGATACTTATGAAAATGAAATAATTAAAATTTAAATCTATATTTTTATCAACGTGATAGTTCATTTGTGTAAAATGGAATTTTTTAATATACACTTATGTAATTACGAAATATGCTCAGCTTTTATATATCGGATTGTTCATATTAAAAGTAATGTTTACAACAATTTACATATAAATTAATTATATTATTACATGTTCGGGCACAGCCGACTCTAATACTAGCCGCAACTAGCCGTAGTGAACAATGTGGCAACACCGCTCAAATGAGGATCGGGAGTTCTACATACATATTTTCAATAGTATAGTCTGGTAGAGTCTTGTACTTAGTATTATAATTAACGTTATTTCTTTATATAAAATCATACTAATCATAGTATTTTTTATAAATTATGTATAAGCAATACATAAATCTCATAACTATAGTAAGTAGAAGTAATATAGGAGTATACTTAAATATTTATAAATGTGGTATATATTCTGTGGACACTTGGAATAGTTTGATGCATTATATTTGAAATATTTACAGTGGCTTCAAGAAAATATAAGTGTGAAGCATGATAAAACCATCTTTGAACTAAATTGAAGCATTCAAACGTTGGGTAAAGATATGTATAAGTTAATAGAAACCTGAAATAGACAAAATTATTTGTACAAAGCCAAACAGGTTAAGCGAACAGGTGGAAAAGAGGATAGATCACAGATGCATGTATGTATCTGGAAATGCTAAATAATGTATATCTGATTGAATACTAATATATGTTAATTTACATAAAATATGTTTAAGATTTACAGATTGCAAAAATTGAGATTTCACATTACAATCATTTATTATGGCTTCCATTATTGCATACATATGAATAAACAGGATTATCACTTCTTCAGTAGGAACAGAAAGACCACCTTTTTATAAGTGATCAAAATATACATTGCCTACAGTTTTACCTTTATTCTCCACAATTAATAATCAACATGTATGGTGATTTAATTTTTTAGCTACACAATGAGGCCCATAACTAGATATGTTAATTTTAATCGAATCATCTACAACACAGTTAGACAAGTATTCAGTATCGAAGATTCCTAAAAAAGAAATTACATCAATGGAAAGATCATAAAAATTTTGATTTCATTAAAAGAAAACGAACTTGCCGATTTTGTAAATATGTGTTTTAATCTAATTGTTTTTTTGCACGAATTGCTTCATTATATGACACATGGTAATTACAACTACATGAAAGTCTGTAATTTCCAAATTGTTTCTCTAATTTTTCAGTTGTAAATTTTCCAGTTAAAAGATAAAATTATGATAGAACTTCATTATTGTGTGTAAGATTGAAGCCAGATGCTATACCTTATGTATGTAATATTTTATGAGTGTGTGACATGAAGAAAAAACCAGGATGAAGAAAAACTATCAATCACAGTTGAAAGTGATGAAGTAAAGGAATGCAAGAAATATTTAAAAAATAGCACGCCTGCAATCAATCGTTAAGTCATTAGAAAGGAAAAATTACCATCATATTTGTAAGGAAAGGAGTAATACTTCCAAAAGTAAACGATTATATTTCAATACACTTGTTTTGTTTTCTGGTCACTATATACATATATAGTGTTATTATTGACCCTCCATATAAAAATTTCAATGATACGCACATATTTATAAAAATAAAACAATATTTTGTGACATTATGAAACACATAGAGACAAAATTGTATGATTCACAGTTAACTTAAAATGTATGGAATTCAATTGTACAGTTTTAAATTTTGTCGCGGCATGATATAGATGGCAGCACTATTTGACCAGTACAAGATGGCTGAATGAATCCGACCCTCCACCCCCCTGAGATCGTCACTCACGCATTCATTAGTCTACTTTATGCTCCGTCCTTCAGATCCATGATTCTTATACACACACCTCGTCGGTGTGGTTCGAGCATAAATTTTTCTATATCTGATTGGTAGCTGCAATGATGATATTGTACCAATTAGAAGTCGATCCGTAGTTAAAACCGTTAAAACACTTTTTGCTCCTTTATGATGGTGGGGTGAACCAGGGTGAACAAGTGCTATTACTTAACTGTATACATACAACTGTATATAAAAAAAATAAGCAAAGTAGTAGGTTTACAATACTTTTTTATTTTAATTTTTTATAAAATGCGAAGATTTTGAATTTTGATTGAACTAACACTGTTTGTAACTGAAAATAAGATAGACTAGAACATCTCTTGGGAGTGCGTATAGATTATAGTTCTAACCTGTTCTAAGTTTTAAAAACCGTTATTTAAAGCGTCGTTTTTTACATGATTATTATATTAAATTGACACTAACTCAGTTAGGAAATAAAAAATAGATTGTATACATACTACTGTATGTATAGTTATTCAAATAATTAAAATTATGTGTTATTACGTTTTATGTTTCATGATAGAATTTTAAGTGTTTTGTTAATTTCAAATAATCATAAACAAGAAAATGTCAGGACCAATGGTATTGTGCCAATTATGGATGGGTGGAGTGAGTAAAAGTTATCTATGCTTAAAAAATACATATATCTTCTGTTATTGTGAAAATAATTCTAGAATTTTGTTTGCTTTAGTTTCCTTGTTATATATTTTATGTAATATTGTTATAGTTAGAGCCATATATGACAGAAAGTTTTATAATGAATGCATTTCACAAAATGGGAGAGCAACCGCAAACTGTTAAAGTAATGAGAAATCGCTATACGGGTGAACCAGCAGGGTATTGTTTTGTACATTTTCCAACTGATGAAATGGCACTTGATGCGATGCACAAATTAAATGGCAAAGTGATTCCTGGTTCTAATCCAGTAAGAATTAAATACTTATTATATAAGAAGTTATAATATTGAATGATACATGTTAATTTATATTGATTGCACATTTTATAGGCTGTAAGATTTCGATTAAATCATGCTAGTACAACAGGAAAACCAGCAGCTGAAAGAGAATTTAGTATTTGGGTTGGCGATTTGTCAACAGATGTAGACGACTATTCTTTGTATAGAGCTTTTGCAGCAAAATATAATTCAATTAGAACTGCAAAAGTAATTTTAGATAGTTCTGGATTTAGTAAAGGATATGGTTTTGTCAGATTTGCCAATGAAGAAGAACAGAAAAACAGTTTAGTAACCATGAATGGATATAGAGGACTAGGAACAAAATCGCTAAAAATTTGTAATGCTGTTCCTAGACCATGGAACAAAATATCAGGGTATGAAAAAGTTATTTTAGAATATTCGTTTTATGAAACACAAATTTTTTTATATTTTAAATATCTAGATCTACCCCTCCACAATCATCATCTGATTATACAGCATCAAACATGAATTCAGATGCGTATAACTACTATGATACATCATCGTACTGGAACAGTTATAGTGCATGGCAACAGGGTTATTATGAAAGTGAACCTACATCCGATGGATATAATAGTTACATTTCAGACCAGAAACCTGAAGAAGATGAATTAGAATTAATTGGTAAGATCATGCTTTTATGCAGTTTATATTGTATAATAACATTGTGACTGTGTAACTTAATTTCAGAACATACAGAATTACCATTTTTATAACCTTCTATTTTACAGAGCATTCAGTTCCTGTAGATATTGATAAACTTAATAGAGAAATAATAGAACAGGATTATAATTTATGGGATGCATTGGAAAGTTCAAAATGGATTCCATGTGACACACTAGAATTATGTTATTAAAGTACAATTTTTATATTTCATATTTATTCATCATTTCATTAATGATCTAAGTAAATATTTAATTCATGTACAGAAGTCATACTATAAAAACATCTTTAACTAAAAAATTGTAATAAAATAAATAAAATCTGAAAGTTTATATACCTTGCGTATATTATAAGTAAACATAATATACAATTTCATAACAAGGAACAACATTTCACAGAACATGAACCAACATAATAATAATTTAATTATTCTTTAATGGGAATAATCGAGTATGTACGCGGGGACTTGATAGAACGCGAGCACAACCTCGACAATAATAAACTTGGAATAGTTGAAGCTTTTGTCAAGAAAGCATCTTGTGTATACTCAAACGGTATTATTGATGTTATAAAAACAATTTACTAAATTTATTAAGAAGTCACGAGTATGATCAGCTTTAGTTGGAGTTATGTTATATAAAATTTACTAGATTGCAGTTTTACAAAATCTTATTATGCTACTACGGACAATACATAGTGGGGTAATAAATCATGTCCATGAATAAATTATGTGACAATGCATTGATTTAAGAGAGCAACTTCCAACAAATAATTCATATTTACTTATTCATACTCTTCTTTTATTATAATTGATTCACTATCTGACAATGTAGGAGTTACAGTTGCTAAAAGTTCCGGTGGCACATTTACAGGTGTTGTGTTTGATTCTTCGACATTTTTCGAAGCGTTAACACTGGAACTGACCATGTACACTTGCAAGACGCTTTTTCCAGGTTCCTCTGGCGATTCTTTTGATAAAATAACCAAAGATCCTGGCTCTACATTGTCAATATTTGGTATGACTGTTTTAACAGGGTTTGCATAGTCTCTTTCCGGATGAGTATTGGTATTTTCAAATATTATATTGTCCAGAATTTTTGTGTTATCTTGTGGTGCTGTTGCAGATTCCTGATCGCTAGATTCGTAATTTAATCTTTCGTTATCAAGTGTATTTATGTCTGGTCCTTGCAGTTTTTTTACTTTCGGTAACCTTCCAGACCTAGTTGGTCGTACATGATAAATTTCTGTGTCGCTGTCAAAACCCGAGTATATACTTAATGATTCAACATCTTCCGTTTGAATTGGTAACGTTTCTGGTGTTTTCTTTTCTTCCTTTATTTTTTTACGTTTTTTTTTCTGTGTCTTTTTTAATAAATGCTGGTATTCATTACCTTCTGTATTTTCATTCTGTACCATTGAATCTGAACATTCTCCTTCATCCGATGCATCCATTTCTGCAATACTAGTTGCTACGAGTCCTGAAAATTGTAAAACATCTGTGAAATAATGTGAACATCATTAAGTTCCTTTTATATTTGTAGTATATTCATAATGTTTGAATATTTAACATTCAATTTAATTGAAACTTACTGCACTTCCGCTTTCTTTCTGCTTTTTTAAGTGTTTTTTCCTTTGATCCCTTATGTTTTTGTTTTTCTTGTGCATTGGAATGTTCTTTTTCTGAATCTTCGAACGTGGCTATGAACATATACCAAAGTGAATGTTTAGTTTTATATACATACGTGCAGGATCGTTAAACTTTTTGATAGATTTATTACAAAGCTCACCTAATGACTTTTCTAGTAATTCAATATCAAATTCTTGATGGTATTCAAGCACTTTTTCAATTAAATTTCTATTTATTTTTTCTTCTTTCTTAAATTTCATCTTAATTTCTTGACGTGTTCTATTTGGAAAAAGACTTTGCATCAGCAAAAAGTCGGTACCAACTGTATTTAATGCTTTATAAAATTTTAGAGTTTCCCATCTGGGCCATTCTTTACTTTTTTGACGCTTTTTATAGAATCCACCTCCAGTATCATCATCAATAATAGCTTCCTTTGCTAAAATTTCACGGTTTTTCTTAGCATTGGTTTGTTCTATAACAAGGCTTTGTTCATCTATTATTAGTTGACCATCTGGTCCAACTTTTACTTGTGGTGCAGGCATTGCAGATGATGGATCATCCTCATGTTCTTCTTCTTCTTGAAGTTCTTCAGGTCTGTAACATCAAATCATTATTCGATACTTTTCATGTATGTTATCTTGAAACATATTTATTATTGTATTAATAAAATGCTTACTGGCATGTTGAAATTCTTCTTGCTATGGTTTCAGACTCCTTAGATCTCTTCATAGGATTAGTAATAGGGTTGTAATATATTAAATCGTACATAGTAAGTTTATTTCTGTCCGGTGTTTTATTTTCATGCTTCAAATTAAATTCTCTTCTAGCTTCTGCTAATTTTCTTGCAGATTCGGAAACTAAAATACGTCTCTTTTGACCTACTCTTGATTTTGTTAAGCTAGCTGTTTTATCATTGTTAACAGCAGTGTCCTTAGCTACTTCTGTTACATGAACTAAATCATGTTTTGTATGATTGATAGTGGCAGAAGTAACTCTCCTACTATCATCTTCTGATTCACTTGCACTTGCTCCACTTCCCTGGATGCTGTTTCTTCTGATTCTGCCACCACCATCTAATTTAGGCGTTGGTCTCATGAAATTTAATCGGCTTTGTGCTAATTTTGTAGGAGAACCTAAACATCGAAAGTTACCACAAAGTTTTCAATTTGTATACTTTCAAAGAGATAGTCATCCATTATATTAACCATTAAACTTACTAAGTTGTGTTATATTTGTGCTTTCTGAAGATTGCATAGTGTCCTTCCTAGATTCGTCAGAACTTTGTTTTAAATTATCTTTAGGTAGAATATCTTGATTGCTTGTCTCATGCTGTATCTCTTCTGTTATTACTATAATTTCCTGAGATTGCTTTTTTTGAATATTAGTCTCTGCAGTTTGTGATTGAGTTACTGGAGAATTATTAATTTCACTGTTAGTTTTCTCAATTGGTTCAGTTATATCTGCAAATTCTGTGATAGTTGTTTCTTGTGTTGTTTTCCGTCGGGTTGGAACAGTAACTGTAGCTTTTATTCGTGCTCGCTTCATCTTGTCAGTACAAAGGTTGAATAAGATCTACAAAAATTTTAAATTCAAATTATTAAGGATTAACATTTCTTAACCTATAAGATGACAAAGCTCAAAGCTGTTTACATACTTACCAGTAGCAATTCGCAAGGCGTACAAAAAAATAAACTATATAATAAGTCTTTATTTGCTAATGTGACATTTTTTACGTCGATAATTTTTTTACCACTCACAGTAAAAAAATGTATTAGCTGCTGTTCTTATTGTAAACATGTTAATCTGTTCTTACAAAATTCTATTTTACTCTTGTGTAAAGTAATAATAATGGTATCATGTCTTATATTGCTCATATATAAGTGGGAACAGATTTCCACTTTCTTCACGTTAGGTGAATATATTCGTACATGGTTTTCGAAGTTTGCGTCCCTCTATGATTTGCTATGATTCTTCTGAATGAGGCCCTCTACCTCTACCTCTACATCCCTTTAATCGGAGTGAATCGGAGACGAGCAGAGATGGCAGAGACGATCTGTGCTTTAATTTTAAAGTCAACGAATCAATAAACTGGATTGTCTTTTGAAAATTGTCTTGCTATGATATTAAATATACATATTTAGTCTGCAATAATTAATGGAAAAATGATACATAATATTATATTCTTGTACCTTAATCTTTGTATCAATGTTATATTTTTGTAGATATGGCAACGATATCGATTTTTGTTCTACTAATCTAGTATAATTGTTGCTTCAGTTTAAATACTTTTATTAAAAATGTGGCAAGATAATGAAGTTCGATTTGACATTTCTTACAAGTAATACGATTACATATATTAATATATACAATGTATACTATATATTTATTCTCCAAGTCATACAATTTTTCTTAATTATGCTTTCCCAAATTTTATTTTTCAGTATGTTTTGCTTTAAGGTTTGTTTGTAATTCTTTTTAACAAAACAAAAAGTTTAAACATACGGCTTAGCCGGTGAAATATTTCAATTTTGTGCGTTTTATTGAAAAACGATTTGAAGTTACAACTTTATATCTCATATAAAGTATTAAGAGAAAAATTCGTATTCAGACATTATTTGAAATCTTATTTAGTCTCATGCAGTTACGACTGGGAGAGTTTGCAGCTGATAAACTGGATTTAATTGAAGACACAAAAGGAAATGCGGGTGATAGTGGAAGACTCATAATAACTAATCTCAGAATAATATGGCATTCTATTCTTCTTCCTAGAATCAATCTAAGTACTGGCCATCACTATTTTTAACTATTACACTAATACTTTTGCAGTTCTGTGAAATCGTTTTTTGTAGGTATTGGGTACAACAACATCATTGCAGTGAATTCTAAAACTATCTACATCGTTAGTATACTTTTACGTGATATATATTATTTTTTATCTATGTAAATTAAGTAAAGTAAAAATAACTTTTATAGTTACAAGGAAAACACACGCAAGCTCTATACATTTTAGCTTCTTTTCGAAATTGTAGATATGAATTTATATTTACAAATCAAGATTCAAAAAGTACAAGACATTATACATCAGTTATTGGTATATACAGGTATATTTCATATTTTCTGATTCAAATACTTTTTTTGTAAATAAAGCGATACGAACAATAAGTATGTGCTTCAAGATTATAATTGTTGGGTTATTATAATCAGAATTTTCTTTTCAAAATATAATGCTACAGAGCTTACACTTCATCGAGGATTTATAGAGAAATCAAGTTAAGAAGTGGCATAATTAATGAAAAACAATTAACTTTACTGCCACAAGAAACTGTTCATTCAACTCTCCAAGATATTTGGAATTTATCTTTAGAACAGGTGAAAAAACCATTTGACATGTGAAAATGAAACCATTTTTGCAAAATTAAACATTGCAATTTGTTTTCTTAGGGAAATATTGGTACTTTCATTGTAACAAATATACGTTTAGTATGGTTTGCTGATATGAATGATCAGTTCAACGTATCAATTCCATATTTGGTAATAGCAAATGTAAGTAGATATATTAAAAATACAATCAGTAGGTATCCAAAAAGAAAATAAAATAATTCTAATTTTTATAGATTACCATTAAAAATTCAAAGTTTGGTCCAACTTTAGTTATTGTGAGTACAGAATCTAGTGGAGGCTATATTTTAGGCTTTCGAGTTAGTCCCCCTGAAAAACTTCATATTCTATATAAAGAAGTTTCAACGTTGTTTAAAACGTTTGAAAAATGTCCAACTTTCGGCGTAGATTATACATTTGAGCATCAGGTAAAATTAAAGATAAAAATATATTTTCAAATAATGATTAATTAATGACTTATTATAGGCACCTGTACAACGGGAAGTACACGTAGAACAGTATTCTGAACAAGAAGACAGTCAAATAGATCATTTAAACGTGTTTGGTTATTACTTTTCCGAAGGAGTACATAAAAGAAAACCTAATGTTTCAGATTATTTAGGCCTTGCTGCAGAGAAACCAACAGAAATCAGTACACTACAGAATATATGGGAACTTATGCCTCAAAATTAGATGTATCATTTACTATGTGTACAATTATAATAATTATGAAGTTAATAATATTTTAAGGGAAAGTAAAAAAAGAACAATGGAATGTGTATATATATTTTTCTTTTGTTCTTCAATATATAAGCCGCGTTTTAAGTGATATAAGTCCGATTGTAAACATAACATTAGTTGAAATTAGTTTCAGTTACAAACTTGTCTTCTTTTTATTACGTATACACGAATATAGATATTTTAATATCTCTGTAATTAATAGAAATTTATCTGTTGCGCAGAATTGCACAGATATTAAATATCTCAATGCAAGAAAAATTTGAAGGTACCTCTTTCATAAGAAACGTCTCACACTATTAACACGACTTCAAATATACTTTAGCATTTTATTTACTGAAAAGTCAACAACTACAAAGAATTAATAAAAAAATAGATAATTAGAATTAAAATATTGATATTCTACAATACAGCATTGAGTAAGTCTTCAGTTTTTTAGTTGCGATTTCGTATTATCCCATATTCATGAGCATTACTTCAAATGGATCGCTGTTCATACGTATTTGATTTGCGGTTGCAGCGTCTTCTAAATTTTGAATTTCCCTTTCGTTAACACTACCATCCTATATTAAATAGAAAAAACATTGTATCTTAATGTTCTTAAAATTACTTTGCGTATAGTTTCTTTATAATAATCGTAATGGATACCTCAGGTAAAGGACTCCATAATCTGATTACCGGATCAATACCACTAGTAGCTAATAAACATGTAGATGGATGAGGTTGAAGACAATTTACAATGCGTTCATCTCCTCTTAGTACGCGAATAATATTCGTTGTATGACGATCCCAAATAAAAAAGGAACCATCATCTGATCCTGCTACAATGTACTGACCATTGCTTAAAAAAAAAAATCGATAACCATCCATATATTATAAATAGATAGATATTAAAATTCGTCGCTTAATCGTCGCCAAATATATACTTACTTTCCAAAAAAGTTAGCTTCTTTTATATCAGTTGTAGTATTACAGTGTCCACAAAATCTCATCTTATAGTCAATCGTGTTACGTCGCCATTCTTCCTCATATTCTGATATTTGTAGCATCGATTGACTCGTGTTACTATCTCCACCTAATTACACAATAATGAAAGAAACATTTTTAAATTTAGTCATGAAACAACAATAATTTAAAATGTTAATATAAAACATACCAGAATCTAAAGCTTCCTTTATATCCATTTTTAATGCTTTACACGCAGAATTAGATGCATACTCCGGAAACTTTTGTTGAAATTCTTTAAGTACTTTATCAGCTTCAGTTGCTCGATGTAAATAAAAAAGGCAACGTGCCAGTCTAGAAATACATATATAATAATTCTATATATAAGTCAATGAATCAATCATCATAATATTAACATATTATTGATACCTAAAACGTGCTTTTACATGTTCTGGATCAAGAAGTAATGTTGTTTGACAGTCTTTAAGAGCAGCATATATATCACCATCCCTACAAGTTATATAAAATTAGGTCATATTAAGTTTTATGTTTTTTCTTTTCTACAGTTAAAGTGCCATTTTTTTAATATCAAGTACAATAATTTTAATGTAAAATTTCATACCAAGTACGTTTCATATATGCGGCAGCTCTATTAGCGTAAAGCACTGCAGCTGTAGGACAATAACTAATTGCCTTGTCGTATAAAGTAATTGCCAAAGCATATTTCTGTTGCTCAAAATTTTCATTAGCCTAAACATGATAGGAATAACAACTTCATTTTGTTTCTTCTCGAGTTTAATTTAACGAACAATATTACTGAACTTACTTGAGATTTTAATTCCTCTACATAAGGTGGCAGAACTTTCACATTTTTCTTAGTATAATCCGCATTGTCCTCGCCGTTTTTCTCCAGGTAGCAGTTCCCAAAGTCTCCTATGTTCATATATTTTTCAATACTTCTTATAAGTACGAATAAAAATATAAAAAGTTGCATTAACGTTCATAGTTACCTGAATAACCATTAGTAGTATAACCAAAGCAGGTCTTCACATTCTTTGGATTGTTGATGTCGAACAAATAAATCTGTTCACCGCCCATGTTAACAAGAAGTTCATTCCCATCGGCACTGAAGGTTAAGTAGGTAGTAGTAAGACTCCTATTATTGTCACGCTGTCGAGAGTGCAGATGGCCTGCTCAATATCAAACATTAACAGTTTCTGTTAAAGCAATCATGCAATGTGTAATAAAAGAGGAAAATAAGGGTATAGGAGTCGCGTACGCTATCTCTGATCGTACGAACGAACCCGCGATAAAATACTGTGCGCAACCCAATGGTATATTCTCATCTGGATCACCTGCACCGGCATGGTGCATACTTAAATTTCCTCTCTCCCAATCGCTGCGTGGAGAATAGATAATAGGCACCTATAAAAATATACAACTAAACGTTAAAAAGAAACAAAATAGAAATAATAAAAGAGTAAATAAAGATTAAATAAATTGAAGATCCTCTTATATTGATAATTACCTGAGACAGCTTAATCATTCTGCGATCGTACATTCGTATATAGGCATCATTGGCTCCAATGGCTATTAATTCTGGTCTTTTTGGATTTATGGCGATACATTTGGCTTCTGCATACCGACCCATATGGTTAACAAGATTTATTAACACAGTATTAGATTCATTGTTTCTGCAGGTGTGTGGTGTACGAATGTCATGTTGTAAAATAAGACCATCTTCTGCAGCACTCCAAAAGAGGAAAGGTACAGTAGATGCAGTGGTAATGCGTTTGACACGGCCTATATGGCAATTGCATATAAGTATAGGTTCAAGAAGTGTTAAATCACGAACTCGTACTTTGCCATCCCCAGCACCTGATACTAGTATACTATCATTTGATTTTGGCAGAAACTAAAACATATGTATAATTACAAGGCTGTTCGTTTCTTTGGTTTAAGGAAAGATTTAACTTTGGGAATTTTCAAATCACCTTGACAGAAAATATATTTCCTTCATGACCTGTTCGTAGTACCAATTTTTTTTCATATCGAAATGGATCCCATAAGATAATATTCATGTCATCGGATGCTGAAGCAAGAATTCTAAAAGTATAGAGTAAATTATATGTATTATATAAAAATGTTCAAATGTGTCATTGTGTTTTTTCTGATAATTCCTTGAATTATGTATCATGTATCAAAATATTTTCTATTTAATGTAATTAATAATGCTTACTGTCCACTTTCGTTCCATTCTAAGCAATTAACGCATCCTTTATGCCCAACCAATTCTTTCTCTAATCCTAACCGAGAAATCAAATTTTCTGTGACATGTAGTTTCTGAGAGACTGCACGTGCTACAGAATCCTAAAACAGTTTTAAAAGAAGTCAATTCAATATTTATTAATACAGAAGCATTTTTCATTGACATACCTGTATTTCACGTTGTCGTACCAAATCCAGAACTCTATAATCTTTATCATGTACATTAAGCATTTCTATACTTATTTTATATAACGCTTTATTATATTAAGCAACTTAAATATCTTCTGAAAATTATAAGATGACAATTATTAGCATTAAATTTATAGAAAGATTTGTTTAAAGAAATGTGTAAATATGACTTGTAATGCAAAACAACGTATCACTGAACACACAGAAAACAATAATATAGAAAAACACAAATATTTTGGAAATAATTTCATATAAATACATAATTACAATCGACACATTGTAGTTGTAAAATATGATTTATAAAAAAAATGGAGGAGTGTATTTTTTATTAATACATTGTAGAAAAAGTGTTAAATCTCTTTACTCTTTTACATAATACTGTGAAATTAATAACTTTTACACCTTATCAATTCATCACATCTACAGACTAGATTTAAAACATAATAATGCACTTTTATTTCAATCAACATTCGATACATATTTCTAACTGCGTATTATCTTTCAATGGAACTTATTATGTGAACATGTTTCTTTTGATACAATATTAAGCTTTATTACTTTTTATATTGTTTCATTTAATTTATAACTATTAATTAATATTATATACGTATATATGACGTACATACAAATGTTTTTATGATTACCAAATTTGTTTTAAGATGAACTTACGTTTAATATTCAATACAGTCTTTCGTAGTTTCATTACTCATTTAAAGTTATACACCTATTAAGTCTATTCGACATTTTTTTTCGTTTAAAAATTCATTATTCTTGCAATTTAATTAAATTTTCGTACCGTTACCATTGAAACATATGCACATGCATGCACATATATACTCTTATTGCAAAACTTGTCCATCCTTATGCTAGATACAAGAAAAGTACCAGTGTTGTAGCTTTCAATTGGTAGAATACGTATCGCAATCGCATTCTCTCAATTTTTCATAAAGATTCACCAAATCGATAGAACCATATCACTTAAGACCTGTGCAGTTTCACTGGGAATACTGAAGTTCCATAATTTAAGAAAAACATATTTTTGATTATCTAAGCGTAACATTGCTACAACATTTTTAGTGCTTGCTGCTGATTTTTTCCATCCATCTAATAAAAGAATGGCATTCCTTGATTCAATAATAATATATACCTACTAGCTAGAGATGGCGTGAACTGCTACTTGTGAAACACTCGTGATCGATCACGTTCGTTCCCCATCACGGTGACTTTTCATAGAGACCCCGTGTGCTGAAAGCGTGGGGTCATAGAAACCCCGGTGGAGGCGCCAGAGACCCCGTATGGTGAGAACGCGGGTCACAGAACCCCCGCAGGAGGCGTCAGCACAGACGAGATATAAGAATAGACCTAACATGCAATGTAATTTTCTGTCCAATGCTTCGAGGGCGTCAGAAGCCCCAAGTGTCAATACCCGACGTTACCGATAAAGCATGAATTCTGAGTATTATTAGCACAAATGAAGTGTTATATACAGTGATGCCAGGACGTGGGATTTTTCCCACGCATGCGCACTACCTAATCCTCAGTAACGTATATACTTCACTCAAATATGGGGTATCGTTAGACCCCCGTGACAATTGAAATACGGTAGAAATTACAGGAAGAGGACATTTTTAAAAGAAATAACATATTTACATGGAAATAAATGAATATATATTTTTTTATTATTTTGTACATCTGCAGCCGATTTATTACATGAATACAAACATTTGTTGCGAGAGTAAGAAAAACTGCAGAAAACCTTACTAGTATTCAAACAAGAACATTATATATAAAACATATAGTCGTGCTTTCATCAATTAATATTGAAAATTTCTGAATTTTTAATTCTGTAATAAGCTTATCGCTTTCGCGTTTGCCTATTACATTTTTTATTATCTGCGTACATTTAGTTCGTGACAATTTTAGATCCTTAACCACCTGCGGATCTGAACAGGTTTCCTTTAATAAAGGGACCATGTGATTAATTGTTTGAAAAGCTATATTGTGCTCCGCGTAAAACGCAGCTAACTTTATTTCGGCTGTTTTGACTTTATTAACATGGTCCAAATCAGAATTACTATCAACTTTTGGTAATAAAACAGATGGTGTGATATCACAGCTTTTGCTTGTATTTTTAATATGTAATTGAGTCCGCGAATGTCTAATAAGTTCTGATTTTCCGCATGCCAAGACTTTATTGCAAGCCGTGCAGAAAGCTTTTTTATTATTATCAGATTTTAACCAGTCTTTGAAAATATTATTCTTTAGCCAAGATAATTGGAATACTTTCCCTTTGTTACTTCTCTTCTTATCCGCCAATCCACTCGAACTAGGCTGCTGGTAATCCATCTTCTGGTTTCTGTCACTGTAATACACTAATATTGCACTACAATTCAATATATTATATAACATTACGCGACTCACCTTCACTTTAACGAAAAACGCGGGAAACAACTGGGAAGGGCCCCTTACGCGTACCTACTGTTGCACATAGATACATCCATGGAAACAACCGCCGTCGAGCTGTGACGTCAGCATGCGCATGCGCACGAAGGCTCCCATGTGGGAGAAAATCCCACGTCCTGGTATCACTGGTTATATATTCCATTCATATTGCATGTATCTACATGATTTGACGGGAATAAAAATATCTGATGCTTCAGTTTAAGGTTAAGGGATAAATATGACAGTCATGAAATATGAAACGGAAAAGTATATATTTTTTCATTTGACTAAAAGACAATTTATTCTAAATGCATCGTTAATGGCATTTTATTAATGTTTCTTTTTACACGTTCTTGTATTATTTGTTTTTATATCTTGCCTTACATTTGTATATTTGTAACAGATAAATGCAGAATAGATGTAAGTTTCATAAATAGTTTATCAAATCTATATGTGGGAGAATATATACACCGCTTTCATTAACATCTACATATTTATAATTTATATGGGAGTGTGAATAGTTTTACTGCCTATTGTAAGAATTTTAATACGCACGAACAATTACTTTCTGGCAATTGGTAAATTTTTACATATGAATTTACTTACACGTTATTTACTTCCAAAAATTTTATTTATTGCGAGTAATTAAATAATGAACGTATGTTAATATTCAGCTACGTGTCTCTCAAATTAAGTGAAATACAGAAGTTTTAGTTTTTTTGAAAATTAGTGTCAAAGAATGCAGCAACTGGTCAGATTAGTTTCGTAAATAAATCGAAACCCTGTATCGGCACATTATTTTTTATGCTATCAAATATTACACGAAATCTTTTTGGAAGTAGTAAAATCTTTTACACAAATTCAATGAAATACTTTCAGGTACCCAGTCTAGGACTTTGAAATTAGAATGTTCAAAAAGAAGTAAAAAACTTTCATATTTGCAATTATTTTGTGAAATGAATAATAAATAAGGGTCTTAGGGATTTATACTGGAGAGCTAAATCCTTAAAAGGAACATGTCGCTTAAACAAATTAGTTAAATATGATATTTATTTGGGGAATATGAACATCATAAATAAACGAGAGCGGTAGAGCGAGTTGTGGTATCGGTGCTCTCCGTCGGTGTCGACGCGTGCTGAGGAATTTCAGTGGTCTATGAGGGGAGGTGTGCGAGAGAGAGAGTACGGTAGAGCCTGCCGCGGTATCGGTGCTCTCCGTCGGTCCAACGCACTAGTGACGTTGCGTCACACAGTTTATTGACTTAGCCGTGTACGCCGTGTACCAAGGTCGTGGTCGTACCATCCAGTGCTTGCTTACTTTCTCGCGAGCCGTCGCAGATGGTGGGCCGGGTGGGCGCGTGTCTCAACTTGTCCTTTCTCTTATTACTAACCCATTGTGTGTTGCAGGCATTTGACAACCAGTTAACTTATTTACTGTGCATATTATTAATTTATTTACTGTACATATTATTAATTTATTTACTGTGCATATTATTAATCTATTTACTGTACATATTGTTGTGTCCCCTCTCTTGTTACTAATCCCTTGTATGTTACAGATGTTCGAGAACCATTGGCTTCGATATTTATCTTCTTATGTACTGTGATTCATTTACTGTGATTTATTTACTGTGCATATTATGTAGTCTATGTGTATTGTATAATGAAAAATATTTTTCCAATCAGTTATTCCATCGAAAGAAGACATCGATCAACGTCTACATCTTCAAACCGTCTACCACTGCGTTAAGTTACTGTAAGTTAAACTTAAATCATAATTCGATATTCATTGTTATATTCATATTCATTATCACATCGTAATGATAATTATTATTATTAATTTTAGTCTATCTATTAATAGACTTAAATTGTGACCATCCATTGTGCATATCAAGTTATTATTAATTCATTTTGCTCGTTGATTCTCTACACAGACTTGGGGTACGGACAGTGGGTCTGTACCTATGGTACGGACAGTGGGCCTGTGCACTAAGACTGTTTGCCGATCCCTCTGGTTTCTATTGAGAAGCCAGATATCGGACGTGTTTAGTCTTTGCCTGGTAAGTAGGATTTGGAGAAAGACTCGTGCGTGCAAGGGTACGGAGTAGTCGGGAGGCTGCTCCGTAAACAGAGAATCTCGCTTGCACTACCATGCTTGTGTACTCCTTTGGTTCGGGTCTGGTACGCAGGTGACCAGCCCAAAGCTCCATGGCAGTAAAAGATGGATCCGGGTTAGCGAGGTGTCGCCCGTCTTTCCTATTTTCTTAAACCAGGTTCTGGCGACAACACTTGCATCGCGATACTTGTTCATACTGTAGTTTAACGTGGTTCATCGTAGACTTAATAACTGCTTGGTATATAGAATATTAGGTGCGTAAACGAAATGATCGATGGAACTTTTTCCATTCCGTCTATCTCTTTCGTTTGAGTATTAGCGACTACGTTGCGTTTAGTTTAAGTTATTTTGTATTAATAGCATTAATTCGTATTAATTAGAATATTAAGATAATATTAGTTCTAAGCTGAAGAACGAAGACAACCGACGAGGGAACTTAGTTTTTTATAGGTTTAGGCTCAAGAAAGAAGTCATCCGCCGAGGGATTTTAGTACCGATAGTATTACATAGTTAAGATTTAAGTTATTTATAAGGTATATTGTGAAAGGTGCGTAGATGTAGAACTTGTGATTCCATCTCCCTGCCTTGGGCCTCCACTCGCAGCAACCTCCTCGTGGTGAGGCCCGGGCAATCGGTATTGTCTTCGGTAAAGTATTGTAAAACGAAGATAATATCGAGCTAATGGCTGCGAACTTTGCATTTATTTCGTAACAGCATGTTCTATGTTACAGCGGACTTTCAAGGCGAAGGTAATTACATTTATACATAAATTTATATATGTATCTTAAACTATGTATGTATATGGCAATATTACTGAAATTCTGGCCCTCTATAACGCGTACAAAAAACTTATTGCGTTTAATATTGTTTTTATGAATATGTATATGTATTATTATGTACATTTGAGTAAATTATTTTATTATTCCATTGTTATTACAATAGTTTAACAGTGACAACAAACGCATGTATATTTTCAAATATCGGACTAACAGTATATTTTTATTCTACATTATTACATATAAGTGAGTAATACGTATCAAAAACGTAATCGAAACACAGATTTTTATTACACCACAAACATCGCATAAAAGATATTTCGTTATATTGACATTTGTAATAATTATGAATGTTGCGAGGATATCAATATTATTGAAATTATGGAACATATAACGAAATATCACTGTAACACTTAAAAAAGTTTTAAAGTTCCATTTATATCATTGTCCTGTGAAAATGTTCATACTTCCAAACATACGTCAGGTAATATAAGCTTCATTTCATCGAATTGTCTTAAAGATAACTGCATAAACAGTGTACAATCTTATACTAATTATAGTAGTCTGGTTCAACAGGTTACTACAGAAACTAACTACTGCCTACGTCTTTGAAACTTGGGCTGTAGACTACAGCCTGTAGTAGTATTTGCAGAAATTGCCATGGTTGCTGGGGTTATTATCTAATTTGTCCACGGGAACACGGACAAGCGTCAGTCCCAATTCGACAGTTGCACGAGCAACATTCGACCGAGCTAGAGAGTTGTACGAACAACAGCGATAAAGGATCACGTTGCAATGTGCTAGAGCTAGAGGGTCTGCTACAGCAGTACTGACAGTAAACTAGCAGCAGAAATATAACAGGTCTGCTGTCATGATGTAACGTCAGAAATTGAAGAGACCTGCTAATATTCTGACGGCAGCTTCACCCCACAAATGCAGTGGAACTGCGTAACTTACAGTAGACATTCGTTTATTGCCGGCCTTTTTATTATAGATGGGAACGCCCTTCGCTCACACGTATTTCTGACATACATGCGCGCACCCCACTTTGTCGTCTAGCACGCTCAGGACAGACACTGACGGACCACTGAATCAGTGGTCTGGGTTAGGTTATATTAATTTAAATTTCTATTTCTAATAATAAATAATAGTTCATTTTTATTTCTGGTTGTTTATATAGTTGTTACGTCTGAGTCGTACAATTTCTACAAACTTACCGTCAATAATTTTTGTAGGAGAGATCTTGCTTACTCAAGATCTTCCGGCGGAATCAGGCGGAATCCTCTATTTGTTCAAGATCAACGAGCGGCTATTGATCTCGGTGGGTCGAGGATTTTGAAATCGCAAGAACTTTTAAGAACAGTAAAAATGCATTAGGAAAAATTGTGTTTTTGGAAAATGATTGTCTGTTTATTTTATATTCAACATGAAAATATGTTCTTTTTAATGGAAGAAAATTAATAAGTAGAGTTAAATTTCCAAATAAAATAACAATTTATTAATAAACATAGGAAATATATCCATAAAAATTATAACTTAATGTTAATTAAACTAAGATGGTAGCGTGACGCAGTTTATTAATATAAAAACCTGGAACGGAGCTGGTTATCAATGTATATCAGTGCAATAAAACTCACCCTTGTTCAGTTCATTTCGTTTAGCCGAATGCGAATTTTGCACTACACTGGGGCAGTTTTGTTCGTCGAATACGATATAAAAGTTGCATGCTAATCGTGCAACACAACCGAATACGATTATTGCACTGCACTGAGGCAGAGAGCATCATCCGAATGTGCGGCACCGAAAAAGTTGGCATTCAGTGCACACCAGTGCGGGTTTCCGAATTCGCTATTAGAAAGAATGATCGACTATAGGTTCGATTTTCATCTATGTTTTTCTCTTTTCGGTGTGCGTCTCTTGTGGCGTGTATAAGGGCTTTTGATTTTAATTTCCATCGCCTATAGTGCTGTGATGTACATATTTTGACAAAATGTATTCTTAATCATAATAAATAATTTTTAACTTACATTAATTAAACGTAACTTATATTTAAAAATCGATGAAATTTGTAGCAATAATTTAGAAATAGACCTAAATTAATTCTGGTTGGGTATTAAAGCTTATTGAATATCGATACAGTTTGGTAGACCAACAGTATGAACAGAAAGGATCCGCAAAAGCAGATTATTACATTAATAAATTATAGACAATGGTGCATCAATTACAATTGTGCAATTTGATATTGTTATTAATGTTTCATCAAAGAAATAAAATTACGTGCATTTACTTACATTGTTTTGTTATCGGTTGTTATGACAACAAAACATGTAAACAAAGTATTTAGTAAAGATGGATTGTCTCGTAAGCACAAATGTAATTCTAATTTTTCACTTTACCTTTTACCAAATATTTGCTGCAAATAAAGAAGTCACTGTATTTTCTCAATTATCGAATTGTAAAAGTAATGAATATTTCGATAGTACATCATTTTCTTGCATGCAATGTGATACCAACAAAAATTTAGTACCTGCTACAGATCGTGAGTTTAAAATAATGTTAAACGAGCAGTGTGATAAATGTATGCCTTTATGTATGCTTTGGAATTTCTTTTACAGGATTACGATGCATATGTAATAAATTTAGTAAACAAATAGGTTTAAGAAATGATTATCCTATATGTGTTTCTTGTGGTTCCAATGGAATGGTGACCACAGATGAAAGAGATTGTATTTCATGTAACAATGCTTTATGTGACTGCAACATTAATGAAATACAAAGTAAAAATCAAAGTAGTTTATCTAAGATGGTATAGTAAAGTATTAAACTATTTATTATTATTATAATTTTACAGTAGATAGAGGCATAGATGGTACATTACTGAATGCTATGTATTGTCTTCCTTGCCCAAATAATACGTATCCATCTTTGGATAAATCTAAATGTTTGTCCTGCAATAGTCTTAAATATGATTATTATGTGACCTATATAAATTCAAAATATTATACATGGATACAAGATCAATGCTTGTATCGAAGTGCGTTTCCAAATGAGTTACACACAAATATTACAAATTTAATAAAATTTAAAAATCAAACTATGGATGATCACAATTTTAAAAATGAATTAAAAGCTGCACTATATTTTTGTAAGGTAAGTAAAGAAATATAGTAATAAATAAGAAATTATAATAAAAATATGTTCTTCAGAGAAAGCATAGATCAGCATGTGAATATTTATCAAATGTATGCATCTTAAGCTTTTATACTAATAAAATTGCTTGTGAATTGTTTGCACAAATGCAAACAGCATCTGTATGGTCAGTTTATAGTAAAAATGAAACTACAACAGTACTAAATAGCAAGAAAATTACACAGAAATACAGTTTATTAAAAAGTAACAATGTAAGTAATATATATTTTTTAAGGATACTTTGAGCGTATTTCATACATTCACATGGGCTGTATTTTTTTTTTAGAATAGCACATTAAATTTTAAAGTTGCTACTTTTTCTTTACATGGTAATTTTAAATCAATTGATACACCTAATATGCCATGTAACTTACTGGAAAATATTAGATTTGGTGTAAATTGCAAGAAAAAATGTAAATTTAGAATTAAGGATTTATTGTCTGCAGAAATCGAATTCATGTCTCCTTACTTAACGTTTATGGAAAACAGGAAAGTTTTAATGCATGCATTGCCTGTACTCATTAAAAATATGAATCAAGTAAGTAAATAATTGGAAAAACTATATTAGAATAATGATTACAGGTGATAAGTATATAATTTCATAGGACTGTTATTTTCAATTTCAGAATAATAATGATATATCCCAGTGGCAGTTGGTAAGAAAATTTTTCCTTGTTGATAACATTAGTGGCTATAAAACATCACTGAATCTTACAAATAAAGAAAATATCAACAGGATTAATAAATTATCAACATTAAGTTATATGAAATCTCTAAGTGTTATGTGAGTTATTTAAGCTTTTTTAACATACATGTTTAATGTATATCGAAATACAAATTTATTGCTTTTACAGTGTTAATGTTCAAAGTACAGAAGATAGTGATAAAATATTTCCGCCTTTATTAGTTGTTGAATATACTGAATTATTAGCTCAACAGATAAGCGAAACTGCAGATGTTATATTAAATTATGAAATTAAGTTTACTCTAACAGGCAATAACATTAACGTCATTTTTGAGGTAAAAATTATAATAATAAAATTATTATTACGAATGCATTATAACATAAAAATATCTTGATAGATAATCGTTGGAGTTTTCTCAGGAGTAGCATTAATTTGTTCTGCTATAAAAACATGGAATTACAATAAACAACACCGTACATCTTCTTCATATACAATACTACTAGTTTGGTTCTTCATTTATACCATGGGTGCTGTTGGTACAGTGATAATTGTAACCCTAATCAGTTTGTGCATATATTTATTTATATTCTACAAGGAACAAACAATACCATATATTTTATTTTCTGACGATATTAATGAGAATATCATTAAAGTGTTTACTACAATAGCATTTCTGTTTAAAGTGAGTATATGATTATAAAATAAATAGAGCTATCATTATTATAATTCATTTATTTGCAATTTTTTATTTAGCTTGCAGAAATGCTTGGATTTATTTGTCAATATTGGAAACTGAACATATTTTTCATCGATTGGGAACAACCTAAAGCATTATGCAACCCATTTTCTTTATGTAAATTACATAGTAACAAATGGTCAAAACAAAAATATAAGCCTTTACACATATCAACAGAAACAATAATGGCTAAACGAAAGAAAGTAGTGAACAAATCAGACGAATGTAATAGTAGCATGAATACAGAAGAAACTAATTTTTCAGCTATCTATTCAATACCAGAAAGTTCTATACAAGAAGTACACAAACGGCATAATGTTCATACTTTTCCTGTTAGTATTTGGAGAACATGTCATATTGCCAATCATTGGCTACATCTACAAACTATTCGGAAAATAAATGTAATGGTACAATTAGTTGCTGTTTTAATTATCTTTCAGGTAAATAAAAACTATATCAATAATAGTAAGTGATATGATTTGAAGGATCAAACTTTGATTAATCTCTATATTTGAAATAGATCATACAGCAATATCCATCGATTCTTATAATACCTGAAATACCATCAAATTTTTCTAAAGACAATGACAATTTTATTTTGTACTATACAGTATGCATTTTGGTGTATGTTTTAATATACAGCATTCAATGGTTGTTATTCGGTGTTTTATATGAAAGGTGTAATACGAATAAAATGCAAGAATTTATAAATTTATGTTCAACTGTAAACATTAGCATATTTATTTTGCCATATAATTATTATGGTTTTTATATTCATGGAAGGTAATATGTATGATAAATATGTATAAAATTATAATGCCTGTAATTAACTATTTCTATTTTTTTATAACAGGTCAGTGCATGGAATTTCAGACACAGATTTACCTACTTTAATAAATAATTTAGAGAAAGAAAGAAATAATTTATGTGCATGTAAAGGTCTTGTACCTGGAACAAATCAACAAACATTCATATTATCTTTAACAAAAACATTCAGAATTATTTTAACCGAATTTTCAAATCAATCAAAAATTGTAGGTATAATTTTTATTTACATTATGTTTCAATTCCCAAAGATATTTATTTATTGTAACAATGATCTTCTTGTAGAGCTCGAGCAAATTCTTGAGAACAAATCATTTCACTAACATAAATTGGGAACAAATTTTTAATACACAGATTAAATTAAAACAGTTTTTATGTAAATTTGTGGATCACTGTTTTGAAGATATGGATTACATTGTTAAAGATCAACAATTCTTTGAAAAATTATTTAATATTATGTTTTTTCACAATGAAGAAAAGTCAGTTTTTTACATTGGTAATATTTCTTAATTTATACATTAATATGCAAGTGTTGTCAAATTATTTAACTTTTGCCTTTTTTACAGATAATAATCATTCATTTGATCAAGTATTATTTTATGGAAATGAATGGTTAATAGCTACATTTGAGTTCTCAATATTTGCTTTTATGATAGTTCTATTTAGGGACTGCGTATTGGCCATTACAGTTACAGTATCAGTATCAATGTTACTACTTTTAATTGCCAAACATAATGGGAAAAAGAATTTAAGTGATAATGTACTATCAGACAAAACTTTTCTAATATAATAGTATAAAAATTTTATAATTTCTTACTTACATAAAATGATATAAGCCTTAATATATCAAGTTTAAAAGCTAATTACGTTTTAAATTTCAATTTATTTTGTAAGATACAGTGTATACAGCAATAACAATACTATTTTTATGCGATAATATATGCAATTCATTCTTCTAAAGAACATTAATGATTATCATGATTTTCATCATGTCCATGTCCATGTCCATGACCATAATCTATTCCATAATATTTTTCTATACCTATTGTAATTAAAAATGCTGCTAACCCAAATTTAACACCTCTAAGTAAACCATATGTTAGTTGCCTATGGCGAGAAAAATTGAGATTTTGATAACGCCAGACTTCATTTCTCAACCAAGGATCCGATAGTCCTTTTTTTGCCAATTCTTCTTGAATATTTTTCAGTATTGGTACATTCTCCACTTTATATATATCAGGACTTGGAATCTTTGGTAATCCATGTCCATGATCTCCTCCCATTTTCTTGAAATAAGTCAAAATTTGGTCATTTTAATTACATATTCATATTACATAAATGTAAAAAATGTTTATTAATGTATATTATTCGATAAATTAGGTATAATGAAATGCATTACGAGTAATTAGAAGTTGATCATTGTAAGTGAATTTAAAATAATCATTGCAATATATTGATTAAAAAAGATAGAATATGTAATATATGAGAGACTAATGAAATATAATAACGATATAAAACTATTATGAAAAATTAATAAAAATATTCTTGTAACAACTATATAGAAGTTTCAAGGAAGTACATGATTTACGTAAGGTACAATATAAACTATTGGCAGTAAGGTTAGTTTAATATATTTGCTTAAAAACAAAGCTATTGTAACATTAATATCATAGCATTCAGTTTCATATAAAGCAGTGTAGTATTGTAAAATGATATTTTAAAGAAGAATTAAATAATTTACCTCCCGAAATAATTGAGAATTATTTAAGCACACACACACATATACACAAGATTCTTCGCTTGCAATACGATGACATACTCTACGTAACGTATATATTACCTAAATATATACATACGTAGCAAGCGCACAACATTTTTGTTTCATTAAGTTATTTGCATTCTTTTTACAGTTAACTAAATACAAATCTTTGTACTACATATTACTTATTTATTATTATTATTATTATTATTAATGCATTATTGTAAATGTAGTATAAAGTATACACATATGACTTTTCAACAATAATTCAAGGTTTACATATAAATTAAAAAGTCAATATTTGGCTTGCGTGCATAATATTTACATTTTGTATGAATTTTTTAATAGAATACGATTTGGTGCATATTATATATACTCTGATAAACATGAGTTGTGTATAAGTTTCGAGCAAATTGCCAGCAATAAATGACAAAAGTTGTCTAAAACACCATAGCCATCTGTTTCCGCATTTGACTTTGGTTTTGCAAGCAATGCAAGCTGACAAAATGGTAAAGCAAATTGGCAAAAAGTCTTGCAACATGATCTATGTCAAATTGAGTGCAAAACCGGAACAAGGTTTGTCCAAGCCAAGTTGCTGCATATGTTGTCGCCAATTTGCTGCCTGTTGCTGCTGGTTGCTGCTAATGTGCGCGCAAGTTGTTTATACCAAATCTTACATCACTTGTAGCCATAACCACAGACGAGGTATAGGAGTAGACATTTCATCCAATGTATTTTTGCGGTCCACTTTTCTGGGGTTACGTTACCCCATTTCCATTTTCGTATCACTACCCACTGCAAATACACCGTTCTTATAACGTAGAAGCTGGTAGCTCCTACTAGGTATAGGATAGACCTATCATCTTATGGGACTTCGTGTCTCATGTTCTGAAATACCGATAGTGTAAAAAGTCAGGGATTTTCTGCTGCCCTCTACGTTATGAGAACGGTGAATTTGTGAACTACGTTAAATCTAAGAAGGGACCATGGTCGTGAACGGATTCTCTTCCGTCCGTTCGCTATAAAGTAGACGTATTAGAAAGGAGTCTTGGGTTCTTATCCCGACGGACCTATAGTAGTTTTTCTTCGCGTACAAAAAAGTTATTGCGTTTAATATTGTTTTTATGGATATGTATATGTATTATTATGTACATTTGAGTAAATTATTTCATTATTCCATTGCTATTACAACAGTTTAACA